CCACGAGCACTCGTTAATCTGGTGAGCTCAAATCGTAAATCTTGTGAGCTCAAATCCTGGTTGGGGTCTGACTCTACCGCTCCCATCCAATTGCTCCATTATCCACGACGACCTTAACATGGGATGCTGAACTTTTCCGTCACCGAAGGCCATGTAGAGATGTCAAATTTCTTCGATGGGCCACATCGATGCACACCGCAGCCACGTCTAGGGGCCCTCCTTGTGTCGAAAGTGAATAAGCGTGCTAAAATTACGAAGTCAATTTATTCCAGCTTCAAAATATACCCCTCTGATACGTGATTAGTGTGGCTAAGATGCTTACAGTGCAGGCGTTATCGAGGTGGTAGGCCTCATGTGGCCACGGGCAGTATGAAGTGGTACCCCTCCCCGTGCCATATTAGTCAAAAAGTCAAAGCGTCTCCCTTCTGAAATAAAAATACAGAGGCGCCTATTTTCATCGGTGGCATGAGGCCAGCAATAGACAATTCCAGCCATGGACAAATCCGAATTGGTAGGTGGAAGTCTCCCAACAGGACAAACTGAGTGGCCTCAAGGGAGCCATGAAACCAAATCAGAGGACGTACAACTTTCTACCAAATTCTGCTCTGAGAAAGGATCGGTAAGACAACAGGACTGTAATTCAGTCATGTATTAATTCACGTCTGTGCTCTCAACCGGGTCTGGGAAATAAACCACCGTACATAATGTACAAACGCCTATGGCCAAATTACTCGGCCATAGGCCACAAGCATTGTGGTTAATGCAGACACGATTCCTTGTAAAAGGTCTCAGTTTGGTGTTCTAACATCTTAACACAGCTGTTTTGTTGCCAGAAAAAAGGGGAAAACCGATGATCAACTCGATTTGCTTTAACAATATCGGCGAGCCCTGCTCTTCTAGTTAGTCCTTGTCTTGTGCATCGACTTACTTTGAACGTAGTTTTTTTACCCGTAAAACTCTGGCAAAAACCTGCATTTTGTGTTTATTATTTCTATGACAGACATAGTTATCAACGATGTCACAGTTTACAACTATGTCTGTATAATCCATCAGCTAAACTTGTCAAAACGCGCATTAAAAATGTAAATTATTTTAAAACATTTCTAAGGCATCTTATTCAAACACCGTTAAATCCGTGACAATTCTCTGCTTCTATCACCAAAAATGTTCAGTCACGGTTACTTGCGCTGCTGTCCAAGGTGCTGGATCGGAGCCCGGGCATGCGGAGGCGGCGAGGATGCCCGGCTTCCTGGAGCCGGCTCACCTCACAGAGGCGTCGCAACGCGGGGGCCGCCGGCTCACGCGCGCCAAGGCCACGCACGCACGAACCACGTGGAACATCGCCACCGCTGCCCGCGCTGGCCAGGAAGACGGCACGAAACAGCGCCACAACTCCCCATAAACGCGTGTCGCCGGTAAACAAACAAAAAAATAAAACTGGCCATGCTGACACGGAGAGAACTGAGAATGTCAGCCAAGACAACTGCACTTAAAAGTGCTTGGCTTGCACTTGAAAGGTTTGTCCGTTGAAGCCGTCGGCGATTGGCTTGGTCTATAATCCTCCTTTCGGGGGTCAATGTCATAAAGTACCGGCTTTGTGGGGAGTCAACAGTGTTTGTCCCATTGGGTAAACTGGCCCCTGCCATGGGAATGTGGAATTTGTACCACTTGCTTTGAGGTTTATATTGAAGATGCGCGGTACTCCTTTGCTCGACTGAGCAGGGGCATGCTTTTTTTTCTCTCACGTGAATCAAAATGTCGCCGTGCTCAAACGAGCATCGCGCTGTACTCCTCGCTCACACGTGGTGACCCTGAGCCAGAGGTTTGAATTTCAACTTTATAACGCCACTCTTCACTTCCTACAAAATGGTGTGCATTTCGTCAACCCCCAAAAAAATATATTGGTCGAGGCGACCTCCCCCAACTGGTTTGTGTGACCCGGCCACCCTACCGTGGGAACGTGAAAGTGAAGGGCCGTGGCACAGCGCCACCCTGCCGCTAAGTTTGTAGCTGCAAAAGCACAGCTGTGTGTGCTGTATGTCGGTCTACATTTTATTGCAGTAATTTGCTCGAGCAATTCAGAACGGCATCTTAATAAGCTGTACAAGGGGGGAAGATGTAACATTTTCCATGAGCGATTATAAAATGGAAATTTTATTTCTTTAGAATACTTGCTAGAAACACACTGCTGAAAGGCAATTTTGGGGCCTCAAATTATTCATGAGGCGTGGCTGGGGCCTGCCAAGAACATCAGGGGACGAATGAGTTGGATTAAAAGTCCACAACACATGACTGAGCTGATGTATCAGTGAAGGTGATATCAGTGTAAGGCTCGTACCCCTAGATTTAGTGGTGCATGTGGCATTAGGGTATGGGTACAAGCCTTGTATTTGAGTTCCGAGTTAGTTTTGCTCCCGGGACACATTAACCTGGAACAAAGACCATAGGTCAGTGGAATAAAATGCATTTATTGTCATTGCATAAACAAATCTGCATACCTCATATCTGCTGGATAGATCAAGTATGTTACATCTTGTTTATGACAATGTCCAAACTCTAAAATCGGTAAACCTAACAGCTCCTTTCCCTAATATTGTCACCGGGATGTTGAACTTGTTTCCCCCAACCTTTGGTAAAGGTGCAGCACTGCCATCGCTCACTCGCGCCACTGCTGGTGGATGGTGCCTCCGTTAGAGGCGAGCTCTCGAGAGCCCCTCGGGAGGGTATTTTGGCCTACTCTTCCATAGTGGGCCAGACGTGTCGAAATCGGTGGTGATGCCCACACTTTTCCCCATCACAAGTGACCTGCCTATAGACGAACACCCTTCAGGTACATTTCTCTTGAAACATTTCCAGCCGGGTCTGGGGAATGGAGATGTTAACCCTTTGTGAACGAGGGCTGTGGTGTGTGGACCTGTGGCTATGTCTGGAACACGTACAATGTTTCAGTCCTTATAAGACATTATTCTTAAATCTATATTCAAAATAAAATCAATATTTAGGCAGAAATTTATTTCTCATGAGTTTTTCTTTTTAAATGTTAACGATTCGTGTGATATCGCAAACTAGCATTTGCTTTTATTATCAGGAATACAAACTATAGATTATTCGTATTATCAGTAACTTGACGCTATTCCGATTAAACACACAACTATCATCGAATTAAAATGCCGTATAGTTGCATTATATTAAAACAAATTCATATCCCACGAGTGTTGATTTATAAATACTTTTACAAAAAAACGTAGACATTTAAAAATATATATGCTATTTAATATTCTGTATATAATAACAATGCTCAAGTCTCACACTTTAAAAATACTCCTGGCTGTGTACACGGTTGTTGAGTAAAGAAACATCTTTAAAATGTATCACATGTAGTCTGCACATATTATTAAAATATAAAAATAATTTTGTATGTTTTTAATAGACAAAAGCTCATTATTCAATATTTACGACACACGTAAAAATGCAGCTAGATTTTCTGGACGGCTCGGGGAGATAATGCCATGTGAGAGAGCTGATCCGGCAACCCTGAAAACATGGGTTTGAATCCAGTTTCGAGTCAATCGTGACATCACATTGCAAAATAAATCACTTGGCATTGGGCAGAGCAATCCACATGGCATGGGCCCTCCAGAAAAAAAAGAGTCGCGAGGCTCGGTGAAGTTTTCATATAGAAAGGGCATTCTCGTTTTATTTCTTAACATAAATCAAACCCAAAAGTGCCTCCCCTGAGTGGCAGGCATTGACCGTCAGCGCTGATGGCCCTCAAATCGAGGCGCGGCCCTGCAATTGTTCGCTCACGCCGCTGCTGTTGGAAGGGCCTCCGCAAGACAGAGCTGTAGAGAGCCCCTGGAGGGAGAATTTGACCGATTCTTCCACTCTGGCCAGACATCTTGGCCCACCACACACAGCCTGCTGATCGACTAACTGGCGTACCCATTTAGACTGCTGGGTGGAAAGAGGCGGCGGGTGGGGAGGGGGGTTGAATAAACCTGCCAATTGTTTCAAATACCGTGCCTGATTTCAGGCCCGATGTGCTAACCATTGCAACCATGGCAACATCAAAATTCACACAGTTATTGACTGCTTTTGGGAAGAAGAAAAACACATGACTCACGTGATGTTTATTGAACCCTCACATTTTTTTTTACAATTCATCAAAAAAATAACAACATATTGTACAAATATAAACACACCATTACACAAACGTTTCAAAAAACATTTCCCGAATAATACTGATAGCAAAATGTTCGTACTAAACGCGTGTACAAATTACGAAGGGTAAGGCGTCGACATCGGCGTCATGACCACTGCGAGAAAGTGGAGATGCAATGTTTTCTAGGTACGTTATGCATCAACTCGCTTCGCTGTTCGTAAAAAAAAAACAACACACGGCAACTTTTCGTTTTTTTATAGCAGTAAAACAGCCTGGCAGATGCTAACTGTTTTTGCCACGGACATAGAAATCGATGTTGACTTATCACCACAGGCAAACGTTCCCCTCCACTCAGATGACGAAGTGATAACAATCTAACAGAAATGTAAATGACAAGACCGCAACAAATCGTTTCAATTAATCCATCAACTCACAAACTTCGGCCTATGGGCAAATGCAATTGTACAGATTCCTCTTTAGTTCACGTGGACGTATCACCTGCCAACATTCATGATAAAAAGTAGCGCTCATGATTTTAGGCGGCTGCGATTTCAGGTGGGCCGGAAGCTATTCCATGATTTCCAGGCAGCTCGTGGGGTATTTTTCAGCCACCTGAAATCACAGAAAAAAGCTCCAGAGCTGTAACGGGAACCGCTTAAAAAAAAATGTATCACCGATGGCCACGTGACCGAAAACATGGTGGACACAGCCCGACACAGCCACCACGGGGACGTCGCAACGCACGTCCACGTTGACCGGACAGCTTGCCGCCATCGCAGATGTCGTTCGGTGAACCGTGGAACGTGGCGTTTAAAATCGCATTCGGACGGGGGGGGGGGGGGGGGGGGGGTCGGCGGGTAGGACAAGTCAACGCGCGGAGGCAGAGGGTGCTGCTCTACGGAGGACACCCGGACGCACAGACGACTGCGGGTGACACGCGGGCCGCGGAGCGTCTGTCGGTTCCCTGGAGGAGCCCGTGCATCGTGGAGGATCTCGTCGAGGCTATAGACCGGCGCGCATCACCACCATCACCACGTGCCAGACACTGGATAAACAGACGAACTGCCGGTGGCAGGACTCGAGAAGAAGACAGGATTAAAACATTTGGCTGCGAAGGATAATGGGAGGTGCCCAAATTGCATGGTATATGTGGGAGAGATTTGAGGTATTGTGTATCACAGCTAAGATGTCTTAGCTGTGTTCGGTCACTTTAAGTCGGGTCAACCTTATAATCGTGGCCAAGGAGCTCCCACTCTTAACATCATTTATCCTTTACAAATCGAATAATTTACTTAATCAAGTGAAAGCCAATTGGAGTTGTCTTGTTGTCATAAGACCTGGGGAACTAAAGCAGAAACAGCTCTATAGTCATAAGTACATTTAAAATATGGGCTATCAGACTACCAACGCTCGGGGTGTAACAATGCATCCATTCATTGATTAATAACTGTTATTAAGCTTAATACATTCGTAGAACCACGCGCGTAATAACCAATGTTTCTGCATTCGTGTGCAGCCACCAGACGTGCTACCAATCACCGCGATGTTTACAAGTAATGGTTCTTGAAAGGCGGCAATGAATCCTGACAATCCATCGAACTGGCGATGCCTCCCCGGTTGACTGCACTACTCTACTCACGAGGCTGCCCAGTCCGTCCAGCTGAATTCTAGCACAACTGTTTTGGAAGTAATGAAGTGTGTGGGGCTACACACTTTTTCCCTCACCACAAATGATCTGCAAAAAACAACTCACTGCAGTTTAACTAGTTTAACGACAGACAGACAAACACGTCCGTGGACTACGCAATGTTTTTGATGTTTTGGCCGAATTTGACCAGGGAAATTAATCTGGGACCTGTGTACTGTCAGACAAACCGCGTCCACCTCCGTACCACGGTGGCTCTAGACATACTCGTACATTTAACAACGTGACAGAAAGCCAGTGAAATAAATACATGTGTGTGGGAGAGGGCAAGGGCAGATCATTTAATTAAATTGTAGTAAAAAGCCACATATGCACCTATTGTCATTGTATAAAGCAAGTATGCACTTAAAGATATACGCACAGTGCAGAACAGTGAAAATGAAGACCACATAAAATGGAATATTTATATCTTATGTACAAAGGAGCCACGTTGTAGGCGATGCTTGGGGCAAGGTGTGCCGATCACTGCAACACAGAGAAGACAGGCTTGGCTTCAGTATTGCACGGGATGAATGAAGTAAAAACTACTCAAGTCAATAGCTTTCAACTTTGAGCTGTACCGCCGTGCTAAGTCCCCGAAGAAGCTCCTAGGCCATGGAGCGAAACGTCGGACATCGTGCCGAATAACACGTGCATGCCATATGAATGTGGAATTTCCACCACTTCTGCAATTTCATCATTAAAATGAACAGCGCCAAATGCATTCACATTTGGACTGCTTTCAAATCTGCTTTCTGCTGCTTTAGGTTCTATATGGAAAAAAAGGTATGGTTATAGCATTGACAGCTATTGAGGCGTTAGCCATTAAGTCGGTGCAACGTTTTACATCGAAAGCAAACAAAACTCACTTTCTGCCAGCACCCAGGTAATGGCAAGCCATCCGGACCCTGTAGGAATATACATACACACTATTAATAGCGGAAGTCCAATATTTGCGTAAAAACTTTATTTTTATCTATTTGGTTATTGGGTATTGAATTTACGCACATGGATTGAAACGAGACTGTCTGAGGGTAAATACAATGTCATACAATGTCACTCACTTGTACTCACAGAGACAACACATATCACAGACTGCTTGTTTAGCCTTAAAAACTGGAAGGACACGTGCTTAAATGTGCTTGAAACTATTAAAGCTGGAAATGCACATGAGAGTGTGGGGTGGCCAGCATCATGCCCTACCAACCGTCTTTGCTGTTGATACAAAAGTACTTTGTGTACTCGTCCGGAGTTGATACTAGGAAGCGAACACTGATTGTGGGGACTGTTGCCAGTGAATGATTCACTGCACCAAGATGTCTACATTGACAGTAAACGGGAAATTTGGCAGTCTCATCACCGTGGCACTCGCACCCAGCTCGGTGCACTGCGATGCTTACATGGCATGGAAAAGGCTCGCCGGCAGGAGATCAAGGGAAAGACCCACGTCGTATTGGTTATCACGGTGCTTCAAAATATTTTTCACCCTACAGCAACACTTTCGAGGTTGCTCGATCTTCGCGGCACACCGAACCAAAAACTCCAAACTGTGGGCCCCAGTGGGTGGGTGGGTTGCCCTGGGGTGGGGGCGATGGCTGTTTGACATTCTTAGCCGCGACAAAAGAAGAGGGGAGTGTGGTAGGGGTGAGGGGCGGGGGCGGGATCGGAAACTGAACAGCATGGAGAGTTCGTCTGTCCTACCTTGCGAACAGTGAGGCCCTTTCCTTCCAATAATTCCAAAAATACCGCATCGAGTTAACAGACCAGGGTGGCAGGCTGATACACCACCTACATTCCCCCCCCCCCCACTAACTTGCTGAGTTATCCAGCCCCCCATGCTCACCATAGTGAGCATCACTCTCCTCCTCCCGCCACCGTTGCTGGAGGTCATCTCCCAACACTTGCACACATATACAGGAATACCCCCCGATACGTAAGGGATGCGTTCCTGGGAAATGCTACTTACACTTGAAATTACTTAAAGCGGACTCTTAATTTCCCAAAGATATAATGTTAAAATCAGTGATTGCATTCCGAGCCGACAAAAAAAAAATTGATGACAACATTTCATGAAGTGTACAAAAATGCACGTGATTAGAATTTAATACTCATTTTTACTTATAGTAAGTACACATACTTAGATGCAATTTCGCACCGAAGGTTGAAGAACTTGCTGATTGAGGCCTCGGGGCTGAGCAGCTCCTTGCAGCAGTGAATGAAAAATCTGTCCGAAGACAGCTGAACGACATGTGTCTTCTTCTGCTGATAGAGCTCCTTTATCGCCGTGAATGTCAATTACAAATGTAGTGACTGACTTGGAGACGTAACTTCTTGGAGGCAATTCTTTAATTAAACATCAGCACACTTTGTATACTTTATACAATACACACCCTAAATTGTTCACACACTCTGTCTCTCACTTAAAAGCAACTCTACACTGGTTGCGAGCCTACACACTGCGCTAGCCATCTGACACTGACGGCACTGAACTGAGACAGCCAACTACGTCTAGCAGCGAAATTATCCAGTGGAGACGACAGCGACGAAGGCAGCGGCGATGGCGACGATTTTCAACAGCAACGACGATGGGGATCCCACTCCAAACGACAGCCCCGAGCTCCCGCTCGGGGTCCCCTTTATCCTCCCTTCCGTAACCTTTACCCGAGATCCCTCTCGGGTCTATCACGTGGCCTGCTGTCAGTCAGGGCTGCTACAAGCTGCAGATCCCCTTCCCTGTCAGCAGCAGCCAGCGCTATGCTACGTAGTGACCAATTCTATGTCACTACATCACCCCCCCCCCCCCCCCGTGAAAAAAAACCAGCCGACCCGGCTAACATCAATCACATCCATAACAGAGAGTTCCACAAAGCACAAAACGCACCAATGCAACAACCCCAACACGGTGAACAAGAACAAATCACAACAACAACAAAAAACCCGCAAAAACAACATTTTTGGCCAAAACTCTAACAAAATACCTCAGTCAACAAGAAAGAATGATACCCAATGACCCCCAGCGTGCCACAGCCCGCGAGCGTCGGGAAAAACCTAAAGTCAATGCTGAACAGCGCTCCCGCCAAGCCCAGCATCCCGCTACAGACGGCGTAAGGCATCATGGCCTCCCCCCTACCCCTGCAGCACCAACCTTCGGCACGCTCTGCTCCCGGCGGCCATCCAAGCACACAGCCGAGGCAGAGTTCCCCCGTCGGACCATCTGACCAAGGCGCAGGCCGCCCTGAAGTGGCGCAAAAATGCTATCCCGTCACCTCCCGCCGTCCCGAACTCGCAGACGGGAGGCAGGCACCCCCGTAGAGGCAGCGCCCCTGCAGACCCCGCTGGTGGCGACTTGAATACGGCGGGAAAATTTTTCCGCTCGGGCGACAAAATGGCGGTCGGCCGCTATGCTGCGCTGAAAACGGCGGGAAAAATTTCCCGCTCGGATGACAAAATGGCGGTCGGCTGCTGTGCCGTGCCCATGGCGGACAAAATGGCGGCCGCCCGCACGGGTGAGAACTCCGCAGATTTCCGCACAGGTGCGGCGACGAAAATAGAGTCGTCAGCCCGCTGTTCCTGCGCTGCGGCATCTCCGGCAGGCATCGCGGATCCCAGCGCTGGTGCGGCGGCAAAAATCAGGCTGTCCGCTCGCTGTTTCCGCACTGCAGTATCTCCAGCAGGCGTTGCGGATCCGAGCTGGACGACCAGCTCCTCTGTGATGGCGGCTGCAAGGCGCTGATGTCCCTGTCCCGCTGCTCCACGGGACAGGGACGGATACCGGGGCTGTCGAAGGGGCTGCATCACCGTCGTCCACATCTCCAGAAGACACTATCGGTGGGATAATTTTCTCGGCAGACTTTGACGTGATGAATTTTTCTTTCTTCATTTTTTTTCCAACACTTCGGACACCAAATGTAGTGACTGACTTGGAGATGTAACTTCTTGGAGGCAATTCTTTAATTAAACACCGAGCGCACTTTGTACTGACGGTGCTGAACTAAGACAGCCAACTATGTCTCGCAGCGCAATTATCAAGTGGAGACGACAGCGATGAAGGCACTAGACGACAGCGGCGATGGCAACCATCTTCAACAGCAACGACGACGGGGATCCCACTCGAAATGACAGCCCTGAGCTCCCGCTCGGGGTCCCCTTTTATCCGCTCAGCGTGGCCTCGCTCCGCCCCAGCCATGCCCCCTTTCTAAAACCTATTAGCGGGTTCCTGACGTGTCCCTTCCATAACCTTTACCCTAGATTCCTCTCGGGTCTATCACGTGGCCTGCTGTCAGTCAGGGCTACTACAAGCTGCATATCCCCTTCCCTTCCAGCAGCCAGCGCTATGCTACGTAGTGACCAATTCTATGTCACTACACATACATGGACTTAGCCAACCGATTAGCACGGTTGGCTACGTACGGCGTGAAATAAGTTCAATGTATGATGGAGTTACGCAGAGGAAGGGACAGGATTACCTGCCTTTTCATCTGATGATAAAGCTGCAGTCACAGGAATGTCCACCAGAGAAAGCTGGCTCTCTCTTCTGGGATCTTCTCTGGACCTTCTGGCTTGATTTCAGAACATTTAAAAAATCTGTCCAAAGACAGCATTCTTGTTCTTCTTGTAGCAGTGAATACGGGTTACTATTCGTGGTGGCGGTGTGGTTTAATCGGCCTCTTCCTCAGCTCGTTGTTGTTTTAGACGCATCAGATTCTCATTGGACAGATTCTCAACCATGGGACTCAACTCCTCGAGTCCAGAATGTTCGGCGGTACGCGCTACACGCATACCGTATGGTATTACGTCGCAAAAGAGTCCGTTTTCACCGCGTACGTTCCAAGTAAAAAAATTGCGCACAAAGATTGCCCAATTTTTTGTAACTGAACACATATGCTAAACATTTAACTTATAAAACGTATATGGTTTTGATAAATATCTGGAACTTACCAAAGGGCAGGGGGCATCTAGACCCGGGGCTCCCTGCTCCCCCTTGTCGCCTTTAGGCCCTCTTTTACTTCGGCGCCCTCGTTCCCCCTGCACACAGTGAAATATGGAACATTCCAAAGATTGCCAACTAAGAGTTTAATAAATACAATATTTTTCATTGAAGTAAAAATGCTTCGTTATTGTAACGATATATTCAAAGATGACAGTATTGTGAACCATCTCTCTGTGGCAAATAAGACGGAGGTATATTCATGGGAAGGCAGAAATGAATCTCCTATGGATGGAACAGGCCATGTCATGGAAATGTAGAATTTACATTTAAAAGGACTCAGTGCCACCAACAGAGATAAATATTGCCCCAACCCTTTTGGATCAGGAAAAAGTGTTGATGTTTTGTGAAATAAAATAATTATCACAGCAAACACATTTTACTGATACATAATTTGCAAACACGTTTTTATACAAGTGCTGCACATTCGAAGTGAAGATACGAGGCTAAGCAGATCGATGGCAACATATTTATTTTGAAATGCAGTCATAACCCGGTTTGCATCGGGGATGCGCTCCAATAAAGGTGCGATGACGAATATCGAAACGACGTGAATCAAAATGATTCACAAGCTAGGTGGAGGCGATGGATACGAGAACAGACGGATGCTGCTGTCAGCAACGTAAAGTGTGGAGTTGAGGCGACACAAATCCGGTAGCGGTATTCATAAAGCGACGACGTATTTGTGAAATGACGTAAAAGGGGGAGAAGTAAATCGGAGTATAACTGCTGTACTTGTGTAAGGGCCGCCAAAAAGCATACCCCCTAAGCGTTGTAAAATGCCGTTAGCCTACCACCGAGCTTAACAGCTCAAGAGGTTTGAAATCGGCATGGTTGTTACTGATTAGTGGGCTGTCAACCATAACGGCTTGAACCAGCAAAGCGACAGCGTTACGGCTCGTGTCACTGGCCGATGGCACCGGATAGGTGCGGTGTACGGTGATTCACCTGGACCGGCACATCGGTTTGAAGGCTAGAAACACAAGATACGTTGAAATGGGAGCGGGGCGTCGGTTTGAGGCCAGATTGGTATTGAGGGCGCGGCGGTTTGGAAGAATTGAGAAGGGACCCAAAAAAAATTTCAGAGATGCGCGATGAGAACTCGGGGCGATTTTGAGTCGAGTCCCTTTCACATGGTACTCTTGAAACTGATCGCCAATGAGGTCTTTATAAACAAAACCCAGCTAACTCGATTGCTACAAATATAATTGAGGGGTGTCCATTTCTATTGTGCCACAAAAATATAACACACGTGCACACATTCATACGTGTGTACGGTGTTACATAGTCATATCACATTCATTCAACTTTTACCCATGGCACATTCGAGGAAGGGGAGTAAAGTCAAGGATGGGAAAGGGGAAACAATGGGAATTAAGAGGAAAAAGGATGTACAGTGAAGCCTTGGATTGCGAGTAACTTGGTCTGCGAGTGTTTTGCAAGACGAGATTTTTTAATAAATGATAATTTGATAAACGAGCGATGTCTTGCAATACGAGCAGTACGTACAGTATACGCTTTGTCTGCCGAGCGTCACGTGATCACAAGTGAGCCAATGGTTCTTCTCTCTCTCTCGCTGCGGGATTGTGGGTAATCATCTTCTATGCTATAGTGTTGTGACCACGTGTATACTGTTTACTATGTACTATAGTGTTGTGACCACGTGTATACTGTTTACTACAGTACTATAGTGTTGTGACCACGTGTATGCTGTTTACTACAGTACTATAGTGTTGTGACCACGTGTATACTGTTTACTACAGTACTATAGTGTTGTGACCACGTGTATACTGTTTACTATAGTACTATAGTGTTGTGACCACGTGTATACTGTTTACTACAGTACTATCGTGTTGTGAATACGTGTATACTTTTTACTACAGTACTATAGTGTTGTGACCACGTGTATACTGTTTACTACAGTACTATAGTGTTGTGACCACGTGTATACTGTTTACTATAGTACTATAGTGTTGTGACCACGTGTATTACTGTTTACTACAGTACTATAGTGTTGTGACCACGTGTATACTGTTTGCTACAGTACTATAGTGTTGTGACCACGTGTATACTGTTTACTACAGTACTATAGTGTTGTGACCACGTGTATACTATTTACTATAGTTTAGTGTTGTGACCACGTGTATACTGTTTACTGCAGTATAGTGTTGTGACCACGTGTATACTGTTTACTGCAGTATAGTGTTGTGACCACGTGTATACTGTTTACTACAGTATAGTGTTGTGACCACGTGTATACTGTTTACTACAGTATAGTGTTGTGACCACGTGTATACTGTTTACTATAGTATAGTGTTGTGACCACGTGTATACTGTTTACTACAGTATAGTGTTGTGACCACGTGTATACTGTTTACTACAGTATAGTGTTGTGACCACGTGTATACTGTTTACTACAGTATAGTGTTGTGACCACGTGTATACTGTTTACTACAGTATAGTGTTGTGACCACGTGTATACTGTTTACTACAGTATAGTGTTGTGACCACGTGTATACTGTTTACTACAGTATAGTGTTGTGACCACGTGTATACTGTTTACTACAGTATAGTGTTGTGACCACGTGTATACTGTTTACTACAGTATAGTGTTGTGACCACGTGTATACTGTTTACTACAGTATAGTGTTGTGACCACGTGTATACTGTTTACTACAGTATAGTGTTGTGACCACGTGTATACTGTTTACTACAGTATAGTGTTGTGACCACGTGTATACTGTTTACTACAGTATAGTGTTGTGACCACGTGTATACTGTTTACTACAGTATAGTGTTGTGACCACGTGTATACTGTTTACTACAGTATAGTGTTGTGACCACGTGTATACTGTTTACCACAGTATAGTGTTGTTACCACGTGTATACTGTTTACTACAGTATAGTGTTGTGACCACGTGTATACTGTTTACTACAGTATAGTGTTGTGACCACGTGTATACTGTTTACTACAGTATAGTGTTGTGACCACGTGTATACTGTTTACTACAGTACTATAGTGTTGTGACCACGTGTGTGCGTAAAGCCTTTTTTTATTTCGTGTCCAAGTGTAGTGACTGTTCTTTAGTAACTGTACTGCAATTGAAAGTCGTCCTACACAATAACCCTCCTCTTCTCCTCTCTCTCGTCTCCCTCACATCAGCCACGATTAAATGTAATGAATAAATTTGATTACTTTATATTACATTTAAATAATAAAAATATAAAAAAGGTATTTTGTATTAATCATTTTTATATGAATACAGTATTTTTGGGTTGTGGAACGAATCATCTGAGTTTCTATTATATTCGCTTTGATATACGAGTGCTTTGCATTACGAGCACGTTTCCGGAACGAATTATGCTCGCAATCCAAGATTTCACTGTGAAGGGACATGACAAACAATACCAAATAGTCAGGAAAGATGAGGAAAGAGAGGAAGAGGCTACATAAGGGCCTCAATGCTGCATGGACCAGCATGTGTTTTCAGAGGGCTTGGTGGGAAGAGGGAATTCATAATGGGGGGTGGCCACACAGAAGTTACGCGATTCACAGAAGGCCTGAGCAATTATATTAATTAATATTAACCTAATTCATAAATGTATCGTGTTATCTGAATGGTGTTGCTTGGAAAACCATAACCTCAAGAATGCGTTCTTTAGCTTGAGTTGGTGAGTGTACATGTGCATACCTCTGCAATTATGTTAGCTCGGCAAAATTTATTGAAAATTGAAATGAAATATGTTTGTGCGTGAAATAAACGGTGGCCAGGTTTAGGCCATCAAGCTCACGAGAACTGACAATGTGGTTTAACATCTGGTGGCTGCCAGAATTAAAATGGGAGATCTCCCTATGGTTATTGGTGAGGTGATGGCCCAGAAAGCAACTTGGCCACAAAAACAGGACTGCTCAGCTAGGTTGCAAGCTCGCTTAGCCAAGGCTGCCGTGGGAATACGAGCACGGCCCTAAATACAGCGGATATCTGAGCCAGTTCTAAGCCTGGATAAAAAGGAGGTTCCTGGCGAAAGGGGTGCTCATAACTTCATCCGTGAAGAAAAACAAATACGAATAGAATCCGATGCACATGATAAACAAATGACGAAATGTGCAGTGGACACCTCGGAGCTATATATCTTGCCCATGGATCGTGATGATGATGAAGATGAACCAGGCTGGCCCACTATTAAGTGGTCCGTGATAACACACTATCACACACACCTGATATTTCACGTAACAAACGCCACCTCAAGTGGCAAAACGTCAATAATGTTGAATGCTAAAGAGCGGCAATAATATATAATATTGAGAACCGACTACATTAAGCAAAAAGTTCTCACACAATTAACTTTTATAGGACACAGAAAACACCGATACCAGTAAAGGTTCGGTAACCAGGTTCTGCTCTGGTCAATGGGCTGAAAGGCATTCAGTGCCTCGAGCCACTGAGCACTTTACACAACAGCGGCTTGGTCTCACTGATATTCGGGGGACCGCACCTTGTCACCTTTGTCCCCTTGCTGCCCTGGCTGTCCCTGCAGCACAAGACACAAGCGCAACAGCGGTATTAGATGAAACCGAGACGACAGTTAAACAATGCTCGGGATGAGAGATAGGGCAGAACCACGCTTCGCCTTGTTTCTTTTCAATGTATTTGACCAGCAGGGTGGCTCAGTGGTAGAGCTTGCAAGTTGCGATTAGCAAATTGCGAGTTCAATTCCTGGAGGTCGAATCAGCCCATCATGCCTACGGGGTTAATACAAGGAATGCCATTCTGTGGCGAAGCCAACAGTAGTTCTATAAATGGGATCACCCCCACCATAGGAGTGTGGAATTTCCACCACTGGCTCAGGGCCGTAAATGGGAAATGGGCACAGACTCAACGTTCATTAAAAAATATAAATCACTTAGATTTTTTTCTCAAAGGCACTTTTTTGCAATTGTGTTTTCTTTGGTTTAAAACACAAGAACATAAATAATAGTTTTAATAATACAAACAAAATTGCAAACTTAATTTAAGATGTTATTTGTGATTTACCATATATCACATTTTTTTTGGATGAATTCAAAGAACGCAGTAAAATATGCAAAGAGCCAAAGTAATATACAGTGTACGTTCGGAATTCTAAAAGTTAAACTAAAAACTAAACTACTTTTTTACCAGGTAAGGCCCACTAGCTACGTGGCTCTTTTTCAGAAGCGATCTGGCCACAAATGATAGCTCAATGAAGTCGCTTATCACGTGTAAATTTAAAGCAGCCAAATACTCTAAATGTGCAGGGAAAAACCGGAGTACCCTGAGAAAAATCCACGCGACCACGGGGAGAGAGACACGCAAACTTCGAATATACAGCCATCAAGGTCGGGATCGATACTACGACCTGCTGCATACCAGGCGAGGTAATTAACATTTGGCCACTGTGGCGCCGGTGGGAGAAGCCATGGAAGGCTGCTCCGTTTTCAAATAGAATGTAGTTGGTTGACACTGAGACACTGCTGTGGCGTAACGGTCAGCACGGTGGTCTTGCAATCCAGAGGTCGCCGGTTTGATTCCCTGAAACAATTGTGCAAATTTATTGACTCCACCCTTACCTCTGTCCACCGAGCAGCGTGATAAATCGGTAACATCAGTTAGTCGATCCACATTTCTGTGTGAGGTAAAGTGTGAGTGGGAAAACACCCACCTCTTTGAAAATGTCTGGCCAGCATCCAAAAGTTGGTCAAAATACCTTGCTATCGAGAACGCCCTCGATAGCAGGGCTGTATCGAGCTCCCTTCAGTGGAGGCCCCTATTTGCCAGCAGTGGCATGAGCAAGAAATTGCATGGCTGCACCTTTACCCGTTTTTGTTATTACCATAGTATACATTAAGAATAGGTTTATCTGCAATTTGCTGCCTGTCTGCTGGGCCAGCGCAAGTTCTGCCCGGCTGCTGGAGGCCACGCACCACACAGCGCTCCTCCACGTGTGGATGGAGGCACATGGAGGAGCAGTTAGGGGAAGCATGGGTGGTGGGTGCGGGCCATGGGGGGCAAGGGGGGGGGCATGTGCGGGCAGGGGTGCGTGAGGAGGGGGAGGTGACAGGGGGGTATGGGGTTGGCGGGGGGGGGGGCCTGGGGCTTGTCATGCGTGAGAGGAGGGCACCCAAGGGTGGATGGAGGAGGACCGTCGTTTAACGGCGAGTACTTTCAGACGATATTCTAACAAAGTTCTGCTGGCTGGCTAGCTGCCTGGAAGGACGGACAGTTACGTCCAAAGGATGTGCGGGCTGCTAGATAAAATTAAAGCAACACAGTGGAATCGTTAATTAACAAGTAAAATGTGTAAATTCATACCGGCATTCCAGTAAGCCCATTCCTTCCCTAAAAAAACACACACAACAATAAATGGTCATAACATCGTTTCATTTTGACTTAAAGCTTTCGTGACTGCATGAATTCATATTCTTGGGTCTTTTCAGTAATGTCACGTAGATAGGTTCAAAGAAAGTAACAAAAAACTACAACGTTTCGATCGCAACACAAGTGGTCATCTTCAGGAATTGGGGGGGGTTATATTTCAAGGCAAACTGTTTATAAGGGTTGAAATGGGCGTTGCCCAAATGTCAGCAGCCAATGTTAATATAAGTGGTGGGCAGCCAACCCGACGGTGGTTGGTTTTCCACCAATCAAAGCCATCTGTATATATAGACACAGACACAATTTCAACTGAGAAGATGAGTACAGACTGAAAAATAATTGGAAGGACGTTATCAACCAGTTTAAATCATAACTGGCTATGATGTTCCCAGCCTACCACCTTCCGATGATAGTTGTGCTTTACACCCATTTCAAACTTGCGCTTTCACAGGGTTCACACTCACACAGCCTCTTTCGTGTGCCGATCTCTTGGTTGCGGCTCTGCGATCTCCCATTAACATGCTAATCTCTCATTAACATGCAAATTTTCACCTGGCAGCCCTTTTATGGTGGAAAACCAACCACCGTCAGGCTGGCTGCCCACCATTTACATTATCATTGGCTGCTGACATTTGGGCTACGCCCATTTCAAACCCTGATAAACAGTTTGCCTTGGAAGCTAAGCCCCCTTTTCCTGAAGACGACCGCTTGTATTGCGATCAAAACGTCATAGTTTTTTGTTATTTTCTTATTTTCTTTGAAATTATCAACGTGACTTTACCGAAAGACTCATGAATATTGTTTCATTTTTTAAGGGTTGGGAAATAATAATAAAGTAGTCTCATTATTGACGAGAAAACATAACTCGACAAAAAAAAACATAATACATATAAACATATTTTAAACATATCAACTATTATATATGTTATTGTAATAATTGGATCTTTATTTTTCAAGTACTATTTGAATCAAAGACTATAATAATGACCCTCTGTTTAGTCTTAGAAACCGTATTAGAACGTGCTGTGAGTGAACGGCTATTGAGGCCAGCACGGCACATGGGTGGATGATACTGGCATGCCTGGCCATTTTCTGTCTCCCAAGAGCTCGTGTTGTAATACTCCATTAGACACTCATTTAAGGCCGAATCAACCCAGGGGAGGCCCGGGACAGGATTACGCACCACCTGCCATGAACACTCACGCCCCCGTCACGGGGGATTGTACTGCGGCACGCACACCGGTCCTTACAACTCTAACGTAGTGACCGAGTTTTCGGGTTTGCTAAATTCCCTTCCTGATGCTTTGTTTTCCCACACGCGTGTATCCCGTCACAAGTTCGCAAGTGAATCCCGAAATCGATAAAGCCGAGATGTATCTAAGCGTGGTGCTGAATCCCAGCAGTTCGTGAGAGTGCATAAATGATTACACTTATTATTTTATAATTATTGATTTAGGAGCCTACGAGCAAAGCACCTGAAAATATGCTCAATCACATCAGACCTTGGAAGCTTAGCAGGTTTGCAACCTGACCAGTGCCTGCAGAAAGATCCACTGTCGTGATGTATTAAGTCTGTTTGCACATCGATGCTCACAGCTTTCACTGACCCGCACTGATCGGCGTGAATGAAGCATGGTCAAATAACACATCACTATCCACACAGCGGTTGGGGAGGTCCGAATCCAAGGGTAGTGGATTGGTAGGACTTGCATACGTGTGAATGTAAGAGCCACAGATACCCCAAACATGGAAATCTTAATATTCGAAAGAATCAATGTGAATGCTAGACATACTAAGGCAACAATGTTTAGACTATCTGCTTCGCTGACATTTTCAATACACTGTGTTACTTATAAAGTAGAGGCCTATGCCATCGCTGACCATTAATTCCATTGGAATGCATAATAAAGGTTTGGTTTGTTGGGTTAGATCGCGTAAATATAAATGCGTCGTAAAACGCTCCACCACCCGACACAGCCAATTAGTAAGGTTTGTCATGTAAACAAAACGTGCCAATTAGTTACTACTTCAGCACACCCGTTGCGTTAGAGGGTAACCCCACCACATTTACAATTCGAGGACGACGTTTCGTTGGTGATTACAACCAGCTTCCTTCTGCTCCCATTGGAATGTACCAATGAGAAAATGTGTTAAAATGATGCCCATGACAACTGGCCAGTGTCCCGGGTCACGTGACTTACCGGATGACCTGGTGGCCCCTGCTTTCCCATAATTCCATGCTCTCCATTCTCACCCTGTGAAAAGGCAGTGCATTCATCAGCAAAACCACAAATTCCCATCTCAGTCACGAAATTCAGATTGCGATTAAATGTGTCCAAAAAATGTCCTTTATTTAGCCAAGTGAAAGCCAACTGAGATTATTTTTTTTTTGGTATAGAAAACCAGAAAATGCCTAGTTACAGCAGAAACGTTGGAAACTTTTTATCATTGACAATTGGAATTTGGACTGTGGCAATATCACAGAATGACGTCTGAATCTCCTGAATTAAATATTAATTAATCAGGCATCGAGATTAGTTTTCTCTTTTGTAAGAAAGACCTGGGATCGCCAATGCTCACTCCATGATTAAACGTCGCAGAGAAAACGCATGCACAGCACGCAGCAGCGAATCAGATTGGGTTGTTGATGCCAGTTAGAATGCTTGTCTCTCAATCAGAAGCTTGCAAGTTCAATTATTTGCGGTCGATGAACATGATAAAAAAAAATCGATAATTCAACAGCAGTCATCCTATAGAACTTGGCTCCGATTAAGCAATGTCGATGATTGCTTCCCTCTTGCTCATTTGAGCAAGGATGCATTTTCAAAATTAGCATTTTATATTAAATACAGTTGTAATATTTGAATTGCATCGAGGACGTTATGAAACGAACGTGCGTATTTTCCATCGATAAATCGAGCACTTTACGATTTTCCCAGCCTGAGAGTCACCCGATATGTAGGTAACCCAACCTTGAGTGGACAGCACTGTGTCCCAATGCCGTGAGTCTCAAGTCACGAGTCGCCGCTGTTCGTGTCTTAGTACCTTCTCGCCTTTTGGCCCGGCTGGTCCTAAGGGCCCCGGAAGTCCCACTGGCCCCTGGTGATAAAATCGGGGGGTGATGGGAGAGCGTTGTTGAGAGAATGAGGCAGAGCATTGCATATGTTTGGTCGATGAGGGAAGACAGGTGAAACGCAGAGGACAGAATGTATGAAGAAAGCAAGTGAAAGTCAAGAGGAAAAACAATCAATTTAGGGTGAGGAGCGTAAAAGGAGAAGTTGCGACAGTGAGAAGAAGGTTATGGCGAATGCAAGAGATGTTTGCCCTGATTCCATCCTTGACAATACATCCACAAAAAATCGTTTTGACATTTATCTCCCTGACAGTTGGCAAAGAAGACTTCAACTCGTGTTTGAGAGAAATCGGAATTATTTGGCAATTTTAAGACGAGAATTTAACCTATTGAGTTGCAGTGCAGTAGCGTCATGTTGAAGTCTAGAAAGTCACATAGCACATTTCAATTAATGGAAATTAATATTGCTTCAACTTGAGTGAGAAAAGCCACTGTCATTTTCCGTGACCATTTTCCATTAAAGTGCTGCATGAGTTGTTAGCAATGTGGGTTTAGAGTTTGTAGCTGCTGCTAGAAATTTCCACGCGATAAGCCACTTCGTTGAGCCATCATTTGTGGCCAGGTGGCTTCTAAAAAAGAACTCTATAGCTCAGTGGGCCTTACTTGGTAAAATAAAGAAAAAGTAGAGTTTTAGTTTGTCCAGTTATTATTTTAATTGTGTTGTGTTTTGTGTGTGGGAGGAAACAGGAGTGTATGGAGAAAACACATGCATCGCAACAGAATATCCAAACTTTGCAAGAGAGTTTCCTCGTTTATTCGGATACTAATTGCCACCGGTGTTGAGACCTTTGCATCGCCAGCAACGAAGTGCAGCGCAGTAATCACGACCGTGGAGTTTACACTCGAATGGACTCCTCACTGGTGCACAGAGCGGAGCAAGCGAGGTTTGGTTGTGCAGACCTGTGTAGAGCCGTCAAAAGAGGGGCTGGCACACACAAGGCAGAGTCCCAAAGGATGTTTTATTTGACTCATACACCGCGTAGGGATTTGAGCGCCCAAGCAGCTAAAGATGACCCCCCCCCCCAAGTAACGGCCACGTCTCCATTTTCATCCGCACGGTGTCCCCCTGCTCCCTTCTTCTTCTCAGGATGCTTGCGAATTTCACACCCGCGGCGTTCAATCTTGAAATATTGCAGCCAATCAGGAGTCCTCTGGCCGATCCTGCTATTCCAAATGACTGGCCGCTTCGCTCAGCCTATCAGGGCATAGCCCGGCTCTCTGCTAAGCAAATGGGAGGCTCCCTGCTCCGTATTCCAGTGGATGGGAGGTGGGAGTAGTGGATAACGCTAAGAGCACGTGAGACCCACCTGAAGTGGTGGCAGTATAGCAAGTCGGTTGCTGACCTTTCTGTGCACAGTTGAAGTATTAGTCTGTCAAATGCGTGGGTTTTTGCTGAGAACTCTTGATTTCTTAATACAAGTGAAACTCTTAATGCGGAATCGTCTTATCAGCATTCCAAGCAAAACTCTGAAAAAAATCTAAAGACATGAGCTTTTTAAAATGTGTTAATGAAATAAAGAACCCAACAAGAATATCAAACAGAAATATCAGTTGACTCACTGTTGTTCCCGATGGTCCACTCAGTCCTGATGCCCCCTACACAGTGTGGACGGTGGAACAGAAGACATAACACGATACACTCAGACTAAGGTGTGGGTCAGTGCTCGTCACAATTGAAAATCCTGAACCAGTGGTGGAAATTCCACAGTTCTGTGGTCGAGAATCTCGTAGGACAATAAGGGCGTGAAGATGAAGAGGCCACCAACAGATGTCACGAAACCTTGCCACCAAAATACCATTAAAAGAAGAAAAGCAACGAAGACAAAACAAATATAGATTCACGCTTGTTAAAACGTGGGGGCACTTTTACGCTCCGACTGCATGACTGAAACACACCGTTAAGAATTCAATACTGCTGGAGTCCAGAAATGCTGACATATTGCAGTTATCAAAACCGGAGAGCCGTGAGACCTTCTCTAGTGTCAGCGTGATGGAGTTACGATATGAGGCCTTGCGTGCGGGTGATGAATCAGCCACCTACCGGAAGGCCCATGGGTCCTCGGTCGCCCTTTTCTCCGATGTCTCCCCTTTCGCCGGGCGCGCCCAATCTCCCCGACAAGCCCTGACGGAGCATGGCCAAAACGCTAGCGTCACTTCAACGGCACTTGCACACACACACCTACACAATCTGACCCTTGTAGCTGGCTGTCAAAATATAGACATGTATACGTTTGTTCCAGATGAGACTGCAAGATAGTCCGTGGAAATTGTTTATCCAGGGTCGGCAAAAACCCGGTTCTCTCTTACAAATATCCGGGGAACAAGGCCATCCAATTATCTGGGGTCAAGACCATGGTTGCACGGAGTTATTCGGCAAACACTTAGAATTGTCGCAGGTTGGGACCACAGAAAATTGGAGTTGCTTGACAGATTCTTTCAAATATCTGGGGTTATCCAGGGTAAAGTGGATTAAAAGACCCGAGGACCACTTCCTGCCAATAAGTCAAAGTATGAGTGTGCAGATGCTGATGCGGTGCTTCCTGCACTTCATTGTTGAGTTGCTCGTCCTTCAGGGGTCTCTCCGAACATCATGGAAAGCAAGCTCCCTTCCCATAACCATCTCACGTTAGAAACTAAACTATTCTTTTTATTGTACCAGGTAAGGCCCACTGAGCTATATAGCTCTTTTCAGAAGCGACGTGGCCATAGATGATAGCTCAACGAAGTGGCTTATCATGTGGAAATTTATAGAAGCCACATACTCTAAACACATGTTGATTCTAAGTGTGGAGGGAAAATCCAGAGGACCCGGAGAAAAATCCATGCAACCACGGGGACAGAGATACGCAAACTCCAAATATACAGCAGGCATCAGGGTCCGGATCGAACCCATGAACCTCCTGTATATCAGGCGAGGTAGTTAACATTTCGTCATCTTGGCCGCAACCCGTTAGGAAAGAGCCAATTAGGATTGGTGCCCGAGAGGCCAGGCAACTTGATGACTGTGACCTCCTGCCGTCACCGAACGCCCATCGAGGGTGGCCCCCAACGTGCTTGCCTACTGGCCACGCCCCCGTTTAGTGACGTTTTTTTGGTGATGCATTGTGGGTAGGGGCGGTGCCTCTTCCAAACAAAGGGAGTTATCCCGCAAATTCTTACACTCATCCCGGGGGTTATCCTGTGGTCACGCTCAGGGGATAAACGAGTGAATACCGTGTTGGGACCCTGGATATTCGGGAAGGGGGGGTACTGATTGTCCCGTTTACTCTGGATAAAACGGACTTTGACTGTAAATTGTTAACGTGCCACTTTGTTGTTGTTATGATCACAATTGCTTACTCAGAAATGCCACGCCGAGTCTCACGACGCTCACGCGAGGGTCCTGATTAAATTCACAGAGAGAGGGCACGACGGCGCTGCTATTGTGTCGTCCATATTGAGCTGATTCACGTGATCATTCAAATCTCGCGGTGAAATTCGTTAACGAAGATATTGTTTACACATCATGCGTACCATGTCACCCTTGTCCCCCTTTTCTCCAGCATCTCCTTTGCTACCCTGAAAACACAAAGATGATCTTAGTGCTGTGTTAGGCATGGAGGCGTCAGTTGTTTCTCGCAGTTCACCAATTCAAAGTTTGTCCCCACATTCAAACATGTTCATTAATGGTGCTTAGGCCAGTTGTGGAAATTCCACATTCACTTCAGCCGAGGACCTGTCTCACCATTGCCTTCATACAATGCAGTACTCAACTTTTGGACTCTGGAGGAATGACGGGCTGAGTCAATCCCTGACCAGGCAGCATTTGAACTCACGATCTCCTGATTACGAGTCGGCCACTCCTGCTAATTATCAAGTGGAAGCATCACTTACTATGAGCGAAAGCAGTATTATGTCTATATTGAGTTGTAGTTTATGACGATAATATGCCGGTAATAATAGTGATTTCAACTTGTAACGTGCTGCACATTATTTGCTCACTGTCAAAGAGAGAACGACTCAGAGGCGCAAGGAACCAAAGAAGTGGGAAGGCAGCAGCCAAGCAGTGAGCAGTCTCCGACCACTGCCGAAGTTCTGTGGTCCTCTGTATTTTAAGATGTTTTCTTCTTAATATATAGTTTCGATGTGGGAGGAAAATGGAGCACCCAGAGAAAACCCACGTGTGCCAGGGTCAACACTCTGTCCTATACAGGTGGAACAGGTGGAATCGATATTTGCTGTACTGCCTTCTGGCAAAACAGGGTATGGTACCTCGACGCCTAATGGGAAGGGAGTTCGACAAAATTTGTACGATCTAGCGACCCTCACCTCCCCCATGCCGGATTGTTGGTGTGCGCCACCACGGAGAGGTAATTACATTTCAACAATCACTTACTTACGTTGCCAGGCAATACCTAGGAGTTCAATGAAAACTCACAGACAACATTGGTGATGAATATCTGAACTGGTCCTCGGCCTCCCCTACGTCAACTCAGCCTTAAATGGGTACCTTATACGATGTGCAAACACTGCCACTTAGGCAGACAAAAGCAATTGGACATAATGCTGGCGATCCGCCTGCCGTGTGCCATACCAACCTTAATAGCTGTCCGCAAACAGCACCTGCCTCAAAAGTCTGTTAAAGGCTATCCGAGGGATCTTTGACTTTAGCAGGTGCGATTGCGAGAGTCCGTACTCACAGGGGGACCCAGGGGCCCAAGGAATCCGCGCTCCCCCATTGATCCGGGTAGCCCTGGTGTCCCCGGGATTCCGGGGGGACCCAGCTCTCCAGGGAGTCCACTCACTCCCTGCGCAGCAACGGCCAACACAATCAATCGTTCATGCAGTCAATTATTATATGAGGCAATCAATCAAAAAAGTCAGAGTCGTTTACCTAAACGGGTTAGAGCACATTGCTAAGTTATTTATTTTTTAGGGGATACCAGGATATCTGCTTTTACATCATATCGATTATGTTAGTTATGTACACTGCATATATTTGCATTTCGCCATTAGCTAAATTATGATTGTGCTCATATTGTGCTATTGGCCTTTTCATGGGCTGTTCAAACATGGTTCTAGAACTTCTGAGCAGCAGAGCTTAAATTTATGCCAGGAAAAAGGCATCAGAAGATGAAGCAGCTGGCTCAATATTCAGAAGATGAAGCTGCTGGCTCAATATTCAGAAGATGATGCAGCTGGCTCAATATTCTGAAGTTGAAGCAGCTGCCTCAATATTCAGAAGATGATGCAGCTGGCTCAATATTCAGAAGATGAAGCAGCTGGCTCAATATTCAGAAGATGATGCAGCTGGCTCAATATTCAGAAGACGGCACAGCTGGCTCAATATTCAGAAGATGATGCAGCTGGCTCAATATTCAAAAGATGAAGCAATTAGCTCAATATTCAGAAGATGAAGCAGTTGGCTCAATATTCTGAAGATGAAGCAGTTGGCTCAATATTTAGATGAAGCAGCTGGCTCAATATTCAGGAGATGATGCAGCTGGCTCAATATTCAGAAGATGAAGCCACTGGCTCAATGTTCAACACCGACTAAAAGATATATTGGAACTTCGAAGCAGCAGAGCTTCATTTAATGTCAGGAAAAAGGGCGCACAAAGAGTTTAATAAAATGACAAACCTGGGGGCCGCGAGGTCCTGGCAAACCCGGGGGGCCAGGAGGACCCTGCAAAAACAATTAAAATAACAACACGATTCAGGGATCATTGCAGGCCTACTCACATTGTCTTACCTTTGTTACCAAACCCCTGGGTGTCACTTCAATGCTCATCTCGGTAACCCACAAACCCCAAACCTGCATAAGGGCCCTACCCACCACAACCTGATTGTGTCTTCGATTATTTTCACCATCATCGTCGTCGTCGTCAGCCGTGGTCAATCCACTGCTGGATGAAGGCCTCCTCAAGTCGCAGCCACCTCTCACAATCCTGCGGTTATATAATCGACCTGGCACCTGAACAGCGAACTTCATCGCTCTATCTCCTCGGTGGACATCCACGCGGGTGCGTTCCAATCCTTGGCTGCCACTTCGTTATTATTCTTGACCATCGGCAATCGCCCCTTCTTACGGATATTATTGTATGCTGTGCTATGCTAGGCGCTACGTTATAGTTTGTGCCTTTAGGATACTTTTCCCTGCGTCCTGTCATGAAATTCCTAGCATCCTCCACAAGCTCTTATCTCGAAAGACCAGAAGCTTGTTCTCCAGTTGCCTCAATAACATCCACTTTTCTGATGTGTACAATGACACAGATATTACACCCGACGTAAACACCCACTGTGTAACATTGGAGGACATATCGTCACTTTTAAAAATTGATTTGTGCAGTCCACTGAATACAATCTACCCTTCTCACAAACCCTTGTACAATGCGGATTACTTACATACACAACATTCTCTACTCCCTTCACATTCTAGCTTCTCACTGAGGCCGGATACTGGCGTCTTTTTCCATTAAAATCATCATAAGCACCTTAAACATTCATGAACAAGCTATGCCCATAAGACTCCGTTACCATCTCAACGTGTTCAGTCCTTGGTAATTACACAGGCTGCTGTCCTACTATCACTCCAAAATAACCACCTTAATAATGCATACGTTTTTTCCCCGTCAGCGGGTTTGGTCCCTTGGATTCAGCGCAGAGAATTAGGGTTTCATAATGGAAAATGTGGTTAATTGGCCTTGAAGCCACTTGCACACAATGGGATCTTGTACACCCACATGTTTAATCAAAATTAAAATTAAATCCTCAAAACCCGATGCACAATGCACTGGTCATCAGGTCTCATTGCTGTGTGAAATACATATCTAATTTATCTGCCCCTGATGAAGATGTGAAGGTTTGCGCTGCTCAGACTAGGACTGAAATTCATCACACGTTTAGCTGCTAGCCTCATGTGGGTGGAGTGGAAGTGCAGTGGTTAGCGCACAGAGCTCTAAAGCCAGTTTCCTGAGTTCAAATGTTTAGTGATAGCTGGGCCAATCCATATAATACTATTGATTTGTTTATTGTATCGCGCATTTATGCAATTGAATCTCACAATATTGCATAATCTACAAACACAGAGGTGTATTCATAATAAAGGTTTTTTGGGTTAGATCGCATTATTTATAAATGTGTCGTAACCCTCCACCACCCGACATGGCCAATCAGCAAAAAAGTGTCACGTTGACAAAAGACAAATAGTTCACTATTTTAGCCCACCGGTGTGTTGAAGAGTGAATCCAAAACATTTAGAGTTTGAGTACGACGCTTCGCTGGTAATTACATCCAGCATCATCGGGCAATTTTTTTGCTGATTGGCCGTGTCGGGTGGTGCAGGGTTATGACACATTTATAAATAACGCGATCTAACCCAAAAACCTTAATTATGAATAATATTGGTCGCAAAAGCCTACGTGTTAAACTGACAGAGGTGTATATATTTATTTAGATCTTTTCAGCAAAATAATGAGTGATTGTATGTACATGTGGGGGAAAATCAGAGCACCCGGAGAAAACCCAAGCATGTGAAGGGGCCAGCACGCTGTTATAGTTTAACGCATAGGCTTTCGCGACACATCTTATAAATAATAGAGGTGTTTTGAGTTAGATCGCGTAAATATAAATGTGTGGTTAAACCCACCACCACCCGACACAGTCAATTAGTAAGGTTTGTCACATAAACAAAAAAATGCTCATTAGTTACTGTTCCATACAGATAGGAAAGATGTAAACAATTTATTTAAAGCTTTCGTGACTGCAGGGATTCATATTCTTGGTTCTTTCCGTAAAGTCACGTAGAAGGGAAACAATAAAATAATAAAAATATAAAACAATAAAATTCTCACGACGTTTCGACTGCAACACAAGCAATCATCATCAGGTGTGAAAACCACAGTAAGAAAATTTGAAAAAAGTGGTGTTTTTTAACATTAGCACCACGGAGAGCGATTTGGCAGTTTTTCAAATGGATGAGTCCATCTATGTTCGGGAAAAGAGGAGGGGGGAGACGAAAATAATGGATGTGGTCTGAAAGCCACCGTAAGCGTGAACAATCAATTAAGACCCGAAATGGTTTATCAAATCGTTCCAATGATTGCTAAGCCAGAATCCATCTTCTTGGTTGAAATTGTCTCTGTGTTTGTATATGTGGATAGCCTCATGAACGAATATCTCATGGTAGCCAGGTGGCTTGCAAAGAACCTCTGTCTTGGAGAAGTCAATGTCATGTGAGCCTACTGAATTATAACAATGATCTGCCACGGCCGAGGTGTTGGTCCTTCCATGTTTTAGGCCTGCTTTGTGTTCACGAATGCGGTCCGAGACATGTCGTTTGGTTTCTCCAATGTAACTACTACCACAGAGGCAACTTAGTTTGTAGACGTGTTTGGAATTGATGTGGTCGAGGAATTGGTCTAGAGCAGGCCGGCCATGTGGCCAGATGTCCTAATAAAAAAGAGACTTGATGGTTCAATAAGCCACTCTGTCTACAGGAAAGCTACCCATACGGATGCTTACCTGAAACCGGATTCCCACCACCATCCATCCCAGAAGAATTCCCTCATCAAGACTCTGCACCATAGAGCCCAATGCATATCCGACCAGGAACACATAGCCAGTGAACTCAAGTACGCAACCAAGCTCTTAAAGCTAATGGTTACTCCGACTACACGATCCGCAAACCTATCACTCCAACCATGAAGAAGGACCCTCTTGAGGAGCCTTTCAAAACCATCACTTTACCCTACATTGCGGGGATCACAAAAAAGATCTCCAAAATCTTGAATAAACACATGATCCAGGTCCGATTCAACACATTACATAAAATCCGTGATCTGGTTCCGTCTGTAAAAGATGTGATTCCGGACATACAGTACTCTGGCGTCTATAAACTAAGTTGCCTCTGTGGTAGTAGTTACATTGGAGAAACCAAACGACATGTCTCGGACCGCATTCGTGAACACAAAGCAGGCCTAAAACATGGTAGGACCAACATCTCGGCCGTGGCAGATCACTGTTATAATTCAATAGGCTCACATGACATTGACTTCTCCAAGACAGAGGTTCTTTGCAAGCCACCTGGCTACCATGAGATATTCGTTCATGAGGCTATCCACATATACAAACACAGAGACAATTTCAACCAAGAAGATGGATTCTGGCTTAGCAATCATTGGAAGGATTTGATAAACCATTTCGGGTCTAAATTGATTGTTCACGCTTACGGTGGCTTTCAGACTGCATCCATTATTTTCGTCTCCACCCTCCTCTTTTCCGAACATAGATGGCCTCGTCCATCTGAATAACCGCCAAATCGCTCTCCGTGGTGCTAACGTAAAAAAACGCCACTTTTTTCAAATTTTCTTGCTGTGGCTTTCACACCTGATGATGATTGCTTGTGTTGCAGTCGAAACGTCGTGAGAATTTTATTGTTTTATATTTTTATTATTTTATTGTTTCCCTTCTACGTGACTTTACCGAAAGAACCAAGAATAGGAAAGATGTTATTTGTTTACATTTTCTGTACTGCCTTCTCGCGTACACCCAGGGTAAGGCACCTGCTCGACACTCATGGGAATGGAGTTTCGCAACATTTGTGCGATCCACCAACCGTCACTGCCTTCACAGTGCTGGATTTCAGGCGTGCACAGCCAGCACTGCTCGGCAGTGGTGGCGTGCTGGGTGAAGTATATTCAAACAACCCCTACGACCCACGTGGTGTGCAAGCGCCTTCATCCAGCAGTGGATTGACAAAGGGGGTGTAGATGTAAAATGTATCTCCATACACCATCTGAGGCTGGCACTTTCATTCTCAAAGCACTTGAAAGCATTCATACGATCACATCTACAATCTGTGTTCAAGTCCGCTTGAATCCGTTTGCATATGCAGTATCCTATTTCATGCAAGCATCTTTAAGATGTGGTATGCCCCGGAAATAAGCCAGGCAGCTCACCTGCATGGCATCTCGTAGAAGGCCGTAGTTGTAGTCCCGGATGTCAGTAGAACCAGGTTCCCCGTCCAGACCGGAGGGACCCTGGGAGGGCGGAGTCATGGCCAGTGATTCGTAAAAAGCTATGGGAATTCATCTTTTTGGTAATTCCCCCCACGGGTTCGTTTATAATGTAATTGATGATGGGTTAAACCGATTAAGCAGGTGGAATATAAAAGGTTAAAGATCCAAGGTCGAAATTAGGTTACTTGTGAATTGTTAGTTTATTGCATTGTTGCAATAAAGAGTGCATTTTTTTAAAGTCCCGGGAATTGATTTTGGGTTCAATTCTGGATATAAACCCATTATTAAACCTATTTATAAGGTATACAAAATTGGTGGTCTCGGTCTAGCCACCAACAGCTGCACAAAAAACCCATTGTATACAATCTGGACCTTCATCATATTCTGTAAAATTAAATTTTCTCATCCTAATCACCAATAACTGCACTATACAACGACAGTATTGTATGAATGTGTATTTAATTTAATAAAACCAAAATGCGAGGACCAAAATCAACTTTATTCAATGTAGTTGTTACGGACTGAAATATGTGAATATATTGGTTCACAACTCTTTGCAAAATAAGAATATGAATCAGCTATTGTGAGCAAAGCAAGGCCTATTGTGATGCCTCCAGAAGTAAGAATGCGATGTCATCTTCACGCGCTTTTTCCTGACGTAACGCGATCCTGTGTTGACCTCAGACTATTGGGAGACTCGTGGTATCACAATTGATATGACTGCAATGGCAACAATTGGGGCTACAATTGTTGCAAAAAAAGAGAGCGAAAACGTCAAATTATTCTACAACGGAAATACGTGGACGCTGATCACATGATTAAGTGAAAGTCACATTTACTGTCCTCAAACGGGCTTTGAGGCAGCGCTCATCTCCAATGGTGTAAATTCCACATTCCCGAATGACACTATACTTGAATCCGGTATGAGATTTGAGTCACCGAGGGTTCTAATTGTGAGTCAAGCTCTCTGCCACAAGTGCCCACTTGGATGAGCTTGGGATTTGAGGCCGCACTGTTGTGGCTCAAGAAGAGTTTAGAAATGTTCAGGAGGGAACCACATTTGCTTTAGGCAACGAGGCAATGAATCCCATGCACAAGCCTCCGATGTTTGGTTGGATCTCACAAATGTTCTTACGATTAATGTGAAGGAATATTGAACACTTGTGACTTAAAGGAAGCTACAGCCCTACAAAAACATAACCAAATTGTTATTATTATTCTTAATATGATAAACACTCCTCAGCTGTACATCCTAGACTCTATCAAACCAGTTAAAAAAAATTGGATGACCATACTGTATTGGAAAAAAAGTTTTGCTGGCTTGCTAGCTGGTACTCAGGCGGGCAATTGCACGATGGTGAAGTCACCCGCCGCATCCCACAGCGTGGAGCTGGGTTCATGCGTCGCATTGATGTCATGCACCCCAACAACAACAACCGCCATTCGCCACTAAGTGGCGGTGATGTTACCACGGCGCTTGTGCCAGGCTAGGTGCACTTTAAGGCCACGTGAAGCGTCGAACGTCCGCTGCCAGGCGGTCAGGGGACAGACCCAGGTGCCATGGGTTGATTGACTAAGATGACTGGCCGATGCACCACCTGTGCCCCCTACTTGGCCAACTTGTTGTACTTTATCAATCCGCCCCCAAACACACCCACCCTCCACCCTGGCCGTGTATCCCGTACAAATGCACAGGCAGTACCAGTTACAAAATATATACCTTTAAGTCAGTTTTAAGTTGCTGTCAGGAGTTCACAGTAGCACCCTAGTGTATTGACTGCCCTGTGACTGCTGGACCTTACGTGGTTACTGCAGTAGCAGGACCAGAGCGCACTGCTTAGTCATTTATCTCATTAGCGAAACGTCTAACCCCGGGGGTCAGCAACCTGCGGCTCCGTGAGGACTGCTTCGTGACGTCATTCATTCATGACCAGCGTCTCGTATTCACCACGTGCATTGCTGCTCTTGAAACATCGATTTAAATTTTTTGTTTACCGAATTCGACAACAAAAAATGCTCTTCTTGTTATTTTGGTTTGCCGACACCTGGTCTAACCCATGCGGAGACTGCCTACAACACACAACCCAGTTGCACATCTACAAAAGCCATTGGCTCTGTGGCTTACGTCTCAATCAGAGGCCTCGCTGACCTAAATTTTGTGCAACATCTCGGAAAAAAACAACTGAAACAATTTTTGCACTATCTAAGCAACAAGAAATGAGGCTAAAATGAAGTTGGATTATTTTTTTTATTGGTGTGTATTATTTTTTCCCCCCCAAAAAAAGTCCGACAAAGTGATGTCTGTTGAAGTGCTCGCTTGGTACGATCGAATTGAACAATTACCCTGGGTCCTGCGGGTCCTGCTGCACCAAGCTCGCCTTTTTCTCCCTGCGGGGTCACAGACAGAACGTATGCAACCACGGTTACATTCAATTTGCATTTGTACGTATGTTGTTATGTATGTTGAATATTCTTTCACACACACCGTACGTAGCCATCCGTGCTAATCAGATGTGCAGGGGGAGACAAAAAACTTGCACATGTAAAGCAGTTCTCAAGAAATGAGTTATCAATGTAGATGATTTAAAAGAGCATAGCTCCAGTGGCTTCCTAATATCGGAAGGAAGAGTGTTCCAGACAGCCAAAAAAACGCATCTCAAAGCGCACGATGCAAGTGACCTATTTTGCTCGATGGCCAGCCATATGCAGCTACGAGGATGACCGGAGTTTGTGTGATGGTGTATGTTCTTTGACGAGATTAGCAAGGTATTGTGGTTCATTTGCGGGAAGCACTTTGTGTGTAATGAGTGCGACCTTATAAACGAACTCGGGTCACTGCACCCGAAACACATCGTCTCACACTCGCAACAACAACAACCGCTGCTCGCCACCAAGTGATGGTGACATCACCACGGCGCTTGTGCCAGGCTAGTTGCACTTTAAGGCCACGCGAAGTGTTGTTGGCCAGCAGGAGGCCACGTGACAGACCCAGGTGCCATGGGTTGACTGACTGAGATGACTGGCAGATGCACCACCTGTGGACTCTACTGTGTCTTCTTGCTCCGTTTCAGCCACCTGGCGCTCCACTCATTGTTGTGACAGTCTGTTGTGGCGATTGCTGTTAGCGAGCACCTATGAAGGCCAGCACCACGCACGACCGCCATTGTCTCCCCAGTGGCAATCCTTACGCACCACACCAGGTACTTATTTGAGGCTGAGTAGACCTAGGGGAGGCCCAGGACCAGTTCAGATATTAGTCACTAGTGTTGGCCACGAGTGTGAATCGAATTCCGGTCGCTGGGTTCGTAGCACTGCCGCTCCCCCTACACACAGACACACACACACTCACTAACACACACACAGACACACACACGCACGCACGCACCTTCAATCCCAAAGGCCCTGGCTGTCCGGGAAGGCCGAGGGGACCAGGAAGTCCGGGGGGACCTGGAGGCCCAGGAGGACCACGTGACTCTGCGTGGTCAGATTCCCTCGTGACATTTTCACCAGATGAACAGAGCGCTCCCTTTTCTCCCTTGAGAGAGGCAACACAAAAAAGGTATGGGAAACTCACTCCCAGTTCCACCCAATGGGTGTTGAGGCATGATGGAAGAGAGGGACTGATAAGGGCCTGAAACAAGGATGCCACCCAAAAATAAACGACTCTATTTGTGTAGATACCCACCTTATGTTGTGCTTTTATACGAGTTTTAAGCTTTGGGAGTGAGAAAAAATTATTTAACGTAACTTTTTGGGGGTTAACGAATGGGTTAACATCCAAAGCTCAGCGCACATGGATTTAATCTATTTGCTTTGCTGACATTTGCTGGCCATCTTGCCAACCAGTAGTTTGAAAGTTTCACACATGTGTGTGATCTACCAACCCTCACTTCTAAAGTGCTGGTTTAGGGCATAACATCACCGCACAGACAAAATCATTGTTCCAGTGGTATGCATCTCCTCATAATCAGCCTGGGGGATTCAGCACACTTGAGAATCTGGTGTTTTCTCAGGTGGGAGCCCAGGATTCGAACCCAGGCTCCCACTCTGAGATGGGCAATGTGAGCCCCCCTGAGTCACCTGGTCAGATCAACTTTCCCTCTTTGCAAAACGCCAACCTCTTTATCAAGCAGCTCCCACCCTGCCGCCTGAGTTCCTACTTCTCATCCCAACTGTTGATCCTGGCAGACACCGCTAAATACTGGCTTTGCGCATTAGGGTTAAGTGGAGCAAGCCTCCGTTAATATTCCCCAAATGGGCCTCGGCGAATTTTCGCTGCAGTTACAAAAACTGCGGCGCCGATTTCCCGGTTTCGGGGAAGGAAGCAATTCATGACAGTGCGGATGAAGAAATGTACAGGGGATTTTCGGAAGAAAATACACTAACGTACATTTTTGTGCGAGCGGCTATTTATTTAAAATTTACAGAGAGGGGATTAAAGAGACGTTTCGGCCAATCGCCAGCGCAATGTTCGCGCAGCTGAGTTTGGTGAGGACTTTGGGGACTTTGCTCGCTGCTCGATGGGCCCTGGAGCTGCTGTTGCCGTGTCTCATTGTGCACCGAGGAAGCTGCTGCCTGCCTGCACGGGGAATGGTGGTGGGGGGCGGGGCCCTCCCGAGGCCCTCCCGAGGCCCTCCCGTGTTTTTGGCACCTGCAGCTTCCTTAAAACAAATCTTCTTTCGTCTCCCAAGTCCAGGTGCAGTGACTTCATCGGGGAACAATGCCCCATGCATGTTGTTTTGACGCTAAGGGTTAGGGGCGGGCACTGTTGCTACGTCTAGGTTATAGGGTTATGATAATTATTTTGGTTACATTATGGCTAGGGTTACAAATACCAGTCTAACCGAGGCTTAATTTTTCACTCGATCATTTTTTTCTGGAACGCTGCTTAGACTGGCTGGGAGTATGGATTTTCGGCGTAAGGCACTACCACTAGAGTATTTTGTATGCTTATCCATAACAGTCCTATATTTTTGAACCCTATATTCCTATAATCATTATGAAGACAGAATAAGTATCACGAGGACAGAATGAGGTGGGATGGAATGTACCCTTACCAGACTAGTTGAGTTAGTGTTAATATGCGGATTGTACGGGAACATGTAAATGGAAGAGTTACCTGTTGGGTATGGGTCAAGTGTGCTACAGTAAACACGAGCAGTGCGAGTGTCTTCATGCTCAGGTGAACACTGGCTTGTTGAAATTCACTGCAGGCGCTCTCGAAGCAGCGGTGATAATTCCAAATTGCCGTGACAGGAATCAATCTGTCATGATGATGATGGCCATTGTCAAGCAGCAAGTAAATCTTGGATTTCAAGGCATCATTCGATAATCGCAACGAAGTATTGATTACTTATATAACAATCGTATTATTTCCATGAGGGTCGTGAGCTGCAGAGACATGGATTCGCAAAGACAAGGGTGGAGGTGTCACTCATCTAGAGCTTCACAGCCCTGGCCGAGCGGTAGAATACCCATGGCAGGGGACAACCTTACTGTTTCACCATCATCAGCCATGAACTATCCACTGCTGGATGAAGGTCAGGCTGTCGCCCACGCCGTCGCCTCGTCTCTCGTGTTTTTTGCAACGCAACACTTCATATGCAGCTCCTGTACACCAGCTGATCTTAAAGCTTCATCAACAGCGGCGGTGGTTCGCCCTCTCAGGAATGCTCCCTCCTTTGGCTGCCACTCCGCCATAAGTCTCGATGGTCTGAAATGATCCCTTCCAGCGACATATTCTTCCCAAGCTCACGCTACTTCTTCAGTCAATATAATGGCACTGATTTGTGTGTTCCGTTCCTCTTTCTGTCTCTCGCTGTAATTTCAAGCATGAACCTCTAAATGCATCTCTGTACGTATGTATAACTTCTTTCGCACCGTACGTAGCCAACCGTGCTAATCGGAGGTGCGGGGAAGGACAACAAACGAAAAACAAAAAGCAGTTCTAAAGAAATGAGTTTTCAATCTGGAAATTTTGTTTTCAATATTTATGTACCTTTCAGTTTTTGTTCAATATTCTTTTTTTTATGAGTTTCCATGCTGTCAATCTACGTGTAATAGCAGGTAATATACAATGATTACAACTCTAATCGTAGGGCACACTTTTCATTATCAATATGTTCCAAAAGCATCACAAACTCTCTTATATCTGCCTCATTATTCCATCATACTGATTCGGGTCCATGTTCAATAACGGCCGTGCGTAAACACACTACAGTTATGTCTCTCCACCAGCTATTGTCATTTGATTCGCGAAATTGCTCTTCCAGACTTTTGCTTTGACTCAAATGTATCCTGAGACCAACTTTGTAGCCTCCTTTATTACGTTTTTTCAATTATTTTCTGCAATTAATTTCAATTGGCTCTTACAATGACTAAGTCACCATCATGTCTGAGATGCTACAATTTCACTACACTGTAAAGTTCCTCGACCAAATGGACCATGCCAGTCCTAGAACATGTCAGTAAGCTGACTATTGTAGTCGTATGGCGATGTCAGTACTGTAATGTGGCTACGCCAGTACCACAGATCATAACAATGGTTGCAAAGAAATATAAACGTTTTAAAATCCAAGATCCCACCAGCAATGAGGCAATGCTCATCTGCTTCAGTAGACCTGAGCCAGCAGGTGAAATTCCACATTGCCATGGCAAGGACCAGCCTCTCCATAGACAATCATTCGTTCCTTCTCATAAAGCGGTGCTCGCATTATTGATTTTGGAAGGATGACGGCTTGGAGTCAAAGCCCGCCCCCCGGTATTTGATCTCACAACGTTTCTAATTGTGAGTTGAACACTGCAACAGCAGGACCACCCGGCTGAATGACCCCACGTGTGCACAGCCCCAGAAGGGCACCGCTGAGTAGGACCTTGGCGTCGTTTCTCTTCTGCTCATGTGGACTCGAGGCATCCCGATGTGGATATGCTCTTCGTTGCCAAATGCTACGCGACAAAGGCATGCCAAATATCACCGCACGTGTACGCGATATATATATATATTTTTTACGAAAAACCCATTCATTGTCCCATTATATCCAGGGAGTTTTATGTATTCAAGCCACTGGGTAGGCTTGAGTTGAGCGTAATTGGACCAGGCAAAATGGAAGTTATTTCAGGGACGTCATCAATTAAGCCATCGCGCCTGTGGTGCTCACTGGTGGTCCTGTCTGCCCCACTTGACCACAAATGGGGTAAGTGGCCCAAACGTTCGACTGAAGCCGACCTGCGACCGGGATTTGAACTCTCAAGATGATCATTGTCTTTGAACAGTTTGAACAGTTTATTTAGAATTGCCCTGTGAGCTAAGAAGCTCTTGAATCGGGTTGATAATTGTAACCCACAGCACCAGAGAGACAGGCCAATAGTCGTCATCCTATGGTAAGATTGGGCCCTGCCATGAGAATGTGGAATTTACAGCACTGTTCAGGAGTACAGTGGGATTTCGCATCACTCAATTGCCAAATTGAGTATGGGAGACACCGTGACTTAGAATGATGTCACAGTCCGGCTGAGTGCCATGACAGTACACAGCTTCATTCACAATTAAATATACCTCGAGTTCAAATCCTGGTTGGGAGTCGACTCATCATTCCTCTGGGGTCAAATAAATCGGTGCACAATACATTGAGTACAATTTCGCATGCAACTATTTGCTAACCTAAGAATATTTTAAACCTCGATAAAAAAATTTGTAAAAATAATTTCTGTCTAACGATATAGAGGGAAAGGCGGGGGACGAGAGGTGGAGGTGGGTGGGCAGAAGAGGGAAGGGACAAGACACAGTCCATGCTGGGTCGTCCCAGGAAGCATCTGGCATGGCTGGGATCTGATTTCTAACGGCGGTGAAAAGGTAGCAACACATTTCTGTCTGGCCAAGGTCACGTCATTAATCACCGTTGCTCGCGAGTGCTACTGTTTTGAGTAGCAGTAGGTATAAGCAATCACTTTGGATTGTTGAAACTTGGATCGTTGAAACCCGTTAATTTAGCAACCCTCCATAGAACCACAGGCTGCTGGGGAGAAGCGCATTGTGGGGCTGACAGCTCTCTCTGCCAATCAGCGTGATGATTTATAAGGGGCGGCCACCAGGGGCTTTGTGGAAATGCCTCTGTGGGGCCGGCTAAGTACGGGGCGAGCGCACGGGCCCTAAAAGGGCAATTCTGACAGCTCTCAGCGACGCGTCGGCACCTTTCGGGTGTGGGAAAGCTGGCCAGATCGGGCCGGGCCCCCGCCTGGGAGGGCGCAGAAGACGATGTGTCGAGACGTTTCCTTCCAGGAGGACGAATTTTAAGAAAATTCTCAACGCTCCCAGCGCCCTGGGTTACGGCACTGAAGCTGTCGAGACGTCACGGCGGGATCATCAATCAAACATTTACAGAACGCCGGCTCAAAGCCTCTGACCACCACCGCCGCCGCCTCTGGCAAACACGAAGGTGGCAACTCACTGAGGGGCTTAGAGAGCTGACGTTGTGCCCGTGCCATAGTTCGGAGCTCCTAGGTTTGAATCCAGACTTCAGCCACCGGCGACTCAAT